CCGGTCAGGTCGTCCAGAGTCGACAGAGCCGTTCAGTTCAGTGCACAGAACAGACTAGAAACGGCGAACATGTTCGGACGATCTGACGCTTACTGATAACCGTAAACTGATAGTACATTCACTGCCGACAGTGACGAACGGCCGTACGACGGTGCTGCCGAAGAATGGCGCGCGCGAGCAAGCTTCGAGCCTCGAAGAATGTTCACAGTGACGACGACTGCTGAAGACGGTGCTGAGAGAAGGAAAAAGAGAAAGATCTACTGCTGTAGCACCGTCCATCGGAAACTCGTTTGCTCCGAAAACGGTGAGCACCGCTGCCTGATATACTTCTAACGGACGGACGTGCACTGAGTGTGTGACAAGGTAAGCAGAGAGTTTCTCTCTCCTTCTTTCTCCTTTCTCGTCGGTGAACATCCTCAGGAGCAGCGTCTCGCCAGTCAGTGGCCCTCCATCGATCGCATCATCTTGGTCGTCGGGTGATGAGCACAGGCTGTGCAACACACCGCGGTACAAGCATGCACTCCGGCGGACAGACGGACACACTAACCGTTCAGCATTGCTTCCTGTTGCAGCAGGCTTACCGGTGCTCACACACACACTTACAAATGAGGTGCATGCGTGATGCCTTCATTACTGAGGAGTACACGATGGAGGGGTACTACTAGAAGTGACCAGTCTAATGAACAAACAGACGACGGGCAGTTGGCTTGTGTTTGCTGTGTGTGCCCGGCTAACGAGTTTCTACTGCTGCTGCTCATCGTTAGGCCAACATCTGAGCATGAATGCTGTTAAAAAGCAGTTGCAACAGCCGCATCATCACTAAATGGGCACAACAAGTGTTTGTGTGTGTGTGTGAGTTTGTGTGCTGAGGTAAATGTGCGAAGATTCCGTTTCAAAACTATGCGACCTGATCGAGTGAGTGAGAGAGGCAAAGGGGGAGAGAGAGGGTCGTCAAAGATGTGAAATGATGTCGATACGGTAAAGCCGAAGGGAAAAAACTGAATGCGGAAGGGTGCGAAGCTGTGCTTACTTTGGTGACAGCACAGCACAATGTGACAGGTGAAAAATGACCAATCTGAGGTGATGATGTCAAGACCATTTAATTGACCTTTGTCCATTTAAGTGAAAACGACCAGGATGCAGCGAGCAGCAACTAAAGTTTTTACCCGTTTGCAGTTTACACAGTGCNGATACGGTGAAGCCGAAGGGAAAAAACTGAATGCGGAAGGGTGCGAAGCTGTGCTTACTTTGGTGACAGCACAGCACAATGTGACAGGTGAAAAATGACCAATCTGAGGTGATGATGTCAAGACCATTTAATTGACCTTTGTCCATTTAAGTGAAAACGACCAAGATGCAGCGAGCAGCAACTAAAGTTTTTACCCGTTTGCAGTTTACACAGTGCCATTGATCCCCCTCCTTAAATTCAGGGTCATTTAATCGTGATCATCGATCAGGTCAAATCTATTAAAGCGTCGATGAAGGTTCAATAGAGGGTAGGGTAGTTCTACAACGGCAGCAGCAGCAGCAGTCATCTCATCAAATGGAGAAAAAGAAGAAAAAAACTTCTTCACTCGGACTAGCTGCCAGCTGGCACACACACAGGAAGAAGACTAATGGCTGCTGCCACTTGTCAATAGTCGGCCATAATAAACACACCGCAGTCGCCAATAGAGGTACCTGTCGATGAATGAGATGAGATTTTTGCATGATAATCGATGGCTGCTACTAGCACCCAACTGGTAATTGATATGGCCAAACTACCCTACTATCCCTTATTGTGCTCAGTCCTCTCCCGTCTTAGGCTGTCTCTTCTAAACGGCCATTTTGTCGAGGGTATACTACCACCACAAACACCGCCTACTCGTCCCTTCATCAGCATTCATTTCTACGTCGTCGCCATCAGCAGCAACAACAACAACAACACTCGCTTCTGTCTGCATCAGCCACCCCCTCTCTTTCTCTCTGCTGCTGATGCGAGTGATGATCAGCACCCGGTAATGTGCCCGCTCTCTCTGCAATTTGAATGCAGTACTTTCCATTCTTAGGCAGAAGCAACAGCAGCCACTTTGTCACCCTCAAAAGGCAGCTGGTGAATTGCTGCTGCTGCTGTTGTTGTTGTTATCTGCAAAGAGGCAAACTTGTTTCAGTGCACGCCAGTGCACAGAACTTTTGCAGAAAATCAAAGAAAAGCAGCAGCAGCAGGAGTCGCAGTTGAGGGAGAAAAGGGAAAACACGTAATGGTTCGGTAATGGACTANACAGAACTTTTGCAGAAAATCAAAGAAAAGCAGCAGCAGCAGGAGTCGCAGTTGAGGGAGAATAGGAAAAACACGTAATGGTTCGGTAATGGACTGTACAACAACAATTGCTGCTGCTCAGCGTTAGATTGTCTGTCTCAGTGGTTGCGCTGTGTGCCTGTGCGATAGTCTGCCGATTAAGTGGACGAGAACAGAGCAGCAGCGGTAGTGAAAAAGAAGAAGACAGCAATCTGCCAGTGAGTGACACGAGAATGGATGTCGCACGATGGTGGTGGTGGACTGGAGCACATTGAGACTGACAGCGACAATTAGCATTGGTTGCAGTGGCTCAGTTTGACAGAATGCCGAAAGACACTCAGCATTGCCAGGACAGTGTCCTTTCAAGATTGGGCTTTCTTTTCTTCAGTCTATTATCGTNCAATCTGCCAGTGAGTGACACGAGAATGGATGTCGCACGATGGTGGTGGTGGACTGGAGCACATTGAGACTGACAGCGACAATTAGCATTGGTTGCAGTGGCTCAGTTTGACAGAATGCCGTAAGACACTCAGCATTGCCAGGACAGTGTCCTTTCAAGATTGGGCTTTCTTTTCTTCAGTCTATTATGGGGGCATCCGCAGGCACACGCACAAAGTGCACACAGTCTGAGAACAAGGGAAAACGACTTTTTGTGAATTTGTTGCAGCCTGCAAAAGAAAATTCCGAATCTCTGCCACACATTGTCCGCCATTTCACAGAGCTAATTCGAGAATGTACTCTGAACAGATGAACAACGGGCATTTCATTTCATTTTCTCGCGCGCAGGCGATAATGGCGCGACGAAAATGAATACATCACGCGGCTCAATTGGCGCAATGATGCCGAACGAGGTTGTGAAAGATTCACTAGGTGAATGGGGTAGTGAAGGCAATGAGAAAGAGTGGAGACAAGACAAGACTACTACGCTCATGTCGGTGTGATGCCGCTCAGTGCCGATATCATTAACGGCAACGACTGTGCGCGCAGCAGTGGACAATGGCCACCGAGTGAATCGATCACACATTACCCGGCTGCGAGTATTATTATTCCGGCAAGTGCATGATACGGTGTCAATATTTGACCAGTGACTAATGACCCTCAAACATTGTCCTCACCGAGTGTGTGTGTGCTCTTGCCTGCTGGAAGATTAAAAGAAAGGCCAATGGGTAAGGACAAGAAAGGTAAGAAAGAATGAAGAAAAGGAGGAAGGAAGGAAGGAGGAAGCCAATCGATCGAGAATAGATTACCTGTGCGCACTTCAGCAGCAGCAGCAGAAGCAGTACTACCTAATGTACTTCAAGTAGACTCTGTCTCATTGTTCTGCTGCTTGTTTTTGCCCGCCAACGGCTGGGAAGGAAAAGGCTGTGGCACATCAGACAACATCGTAAATGTGCCTCCTAGATTTGCTGGGCAATCTATTCTGCCCATTAGAGGATATCTCTACTGCTCGGCTGTTTGTTTCTCCCCAGCTGTACCATCACTGCACTACTGAGCTCAGTGCTCGGCGCAATTTGCAAAGCAGGCATCAAACCGATTGACCTTGACATTTGGATTAGGCTCTCTCCGGAATAGGCTCGTCATGGTAAAGCAGAAACAGCATAAGAAGCAGCGTTGATTCGGGCTCAGTGAGCATCGGTCATGGAGCTTTGCATAAATCAACCATTTAGTTGGAAGAGTAGAAGATGTGAATCAATCTTCCGTCTTAATGATCAAGGGAAGGCAAAGAGGTGAGGGCACAGCAGCGGTAATGGCAGTGAGTGGCCAAGTGGCAAGTGAGTGGCTGCACCGCAATTAGCGGCACCATTGCTAATGGGCTGCCTCCACTGATGAACTGCTGATGCACTCTCCAAATCGCTGTTGTCGTACTAGTCATTGTCAGCCTGTCTTTTTTACTCCCAAAATGACTTTTGTCTCGTGTATGTTGCACCTACCTTATGCTCAAAAGGGTGTCATTGAAGGAGATAGGTGTCCACAGCAGTGATCACAACAACAGTACAGTTCCCTGTACACTTTTCCTCTTTTGTAAATTGTCTTTCCTTCTTTCGACCTGTTTTTGTCTGTTGTTGTCTTAGTCTCGGTCCAGTGTTCAACAACTCGGCGGTAATTGATGATGATGTCCCAGTGGAAGACACTGGAGTCAAGCTTTCCAGACTTGATCGAGCTGCTGCTGCTGCTGAGCACGTCTGGTGCACCCTTCAGATTCGGTCGATGTTTGAGTGTCTGTCTGTGATTGACACCGACAAGTGCTGGCAGCGACTTGCCTATTTGCATATGCATTTGCATGCTCTCTGCCTAAAGTGAAGAAGAGCACAGATAAAGAGAGAGATGACAGTCGGGACAACAGTCGGCACATCGGTCAAGTGACACAAACAGCTGCGGTGTGTTTAGGTTGGGGAGCAGATTGAGGCCAGAGCTTGACTGATTTACCAACACTGGCCGCCTACGCGCAGTGACACCTTCTCTGGGAAATTCACTCTTTGGATGGCTGCTTATCACACGAGCTTGTTTGATTTAATATGCAGACCATGATTTAGTTGTTCTGTTTGGTTTTGTACAGTCTAAAAGAAGTGATGGTCATCCTGCATTCGCACATCAAAGAGTCAGTTGATCGGGGGTGAATTGAGTGGAGTGAGTCAAAAAAAGTTGAAGGCGATAATAAATTATGAATTAGAAATGAATGAGAAGCTTTTGCACTTTTTGAGTTTACTAAAACACAGTCCCCCTAGAGTTCTTGGTGGTTGGTTGGCACAGTGGTCGTGTCGCCAGCATCGGAGTATCGTCGCCAGAACTCGGCGGGAATCAAATTGAGAAAGTACTCGTCGTTGGTGAACACCTCATCGTGGTTCAACGCCTGATCACCGTTGGTGTCAGTGTCGTGGATCATTCGCACCGCCTCTGCCTCGTGTCGGTCGTAGTTGGGCACCAGCCACTCGTTCAGCTCCTCCAAGTTCAGCACACCGTCCTTGTCTTTGTCCAAGTAGGTAGCAAACTGAGACTGTTGGTTCTGTAAATAAATTGTCGAAAGTGGCAAATTACTTGTTTGCTTTTCTGCCGGCTAAATAAATGTCAACACAAACCTGCCAAAAGTTGGCGTCTTCCTTCTCCTCCTCCTGACTGACGTCTGACATGTGCTTGACGTACTCGGAAAGACTCACTTCCTTATTTCCGTCAGAGTCCATGTCCTCCATGGCCTCCTCCACGAGAATGTGCTTCGTCTCATCCGACTCCTCCGGGTGAATAAAGTTGGTGAACTCCTCCTTCACCAGAAAGTTGTCGCCGTTCTTATCAGCTGCCTTCCATCGCTTCACAGCTCGCTTGTACATCTGCAAATAACTCTTAAAGTTGGGATCCTCTGACTTGACCTCTTCAGTGCTGTTCACTGCTTGGAGCACATCATCCGGATAGGTGCTCTTGACGTAGTGCTCCCAGGAGATGGTCTCCCTCTTCTCTGGATCGTAACTTTCCCAACTGTGCACCTCTTGCACTTCCGGCTGATAGAAGTTCCACTGCTGATTGACATTTTCCTCAATCAAGCTGAGATGAACCTTCTCCAGCCAGGCTTTCAATTCATCGCCGCTGAGCTGTTTATCACCGTCTTTATCAATCAGCGTAAACACCTCCTTTAGCATAGCGGTAATTTCTTCCCTACTCGGTTGCTGTCCAGGTGGTGGAATCTGACTGTCGTGAAGGTGCTTGTCGGCGTCTGGCCCCAGTTCGTGTGGCTCATGAGCGGTGACGATGGCAACAGTAAAGCACAACAGGTAAGTAATTCGGTGCATGATGAGCGTGTGTGTGTGTGTGTGTCTGCAATGCAAAACAAATCTTATTAGTCGATGTGTACATATTAGACAGCGTCCTCCGACTTACATTAAACTATTGTGCCGAGTTGAGCAGCAGGTGTGTTCGGGTGGGGAAGGGAGGAGGAGAGCACCAGAATGGGCGCCAACGATGTGTTTACCGGTGGCTGAGATTTGGCAGAATCCTCGCTCTGCTGACAGGCACAGCTGTTGTTGGCTAGAATTGACGTGTCGTAAATACGGCAGCGGCACCTTCTCAAGCGCATGCGTCCAATGAGGGGTGAAAAATTGGCAAAAGAGATTTGAAAGAAAAAGAAGGAAAGCACAAAAAGTAATAACGTGTATGTGAGGGGAATCAGCGGTTGGCTACCTGTTTTGGGCTGACTGACGAAGCTGAAAGGCAGTAATTAGAAAAGGTTAAAGAGGAGAAGCAGTTTGTACTACCAGATTCGGTGGCAAAGATGAAGGAGAAGTAGAAAGCGGAAGGGCAATTTAGGTTGTGCCGATGGTGATTTTTTTTACTTGAAATTGGGGTCGTGTCTCTGCCGATGATAGCGTTCAGATTGATATGGTGATATTTAGAGGATAAATAAAAGCTCTGGTTGTCAGCCTAGAGAGAAGAGTGCACTCATTTGATGAGTTTTTAGTCTTCGGGTGGGGATGTCTGCTCGGTCGAGAATGGTCGAGAAGAAAAGACGCTGGTGGTGGTGAATTATAAACAGACAAACGGGAAGGAAGGGCCTGCCTGAAGACATCTGTGCTGTGGTGGCAGTCGATCGATGGAACGAAAAGACGACAGTTTATGTTTAGATAATGTCTTGGGGGCAGGGCGAGGCAACCAGGCTGGAGAACTTGTTATTCAGTGACTAAAAATTTTTTTAAAATTTCATTTTCTGCCCAATTTATTTACCGAACATGTGTTGGTCAGATTCAGGACCCTTCCGGAAATTTTTATCTACCTTAAAAGTACCATGGCAAAATTGTTTCAATGCAATTTAGCGCAAAATGTTCAATTTCTACAAAAAATGTTCAAAAATATCAAATTTTTTTACCGGAAATGGTCTTAGCGGCATTTGGGACCCTTCCGGAAGTAGTATCGTACCGGAAAACACCAAAAAATTTCCTGGCAACGGTGAGATTCGAACTCACGCCTTCGAAAAGACTGGTGCCTTAAACCAGCGCCTTAGACCGCTCGGCCACGTTACCGCTCATTCATACTACAGCGAAGCAAGAAAACCTCTTTAAATCGATTTTTTCTGAAAAGTTTGCCTCGTTGCCAAATGCATTGGCGAAAGGAAGATTGATACAGAAGTTTACACCAGAACTAGTGGAGCTGGTAAAACAATAAAAAAAAGTTAAAAATCTTCAAAAACATCAATGAAAATATGGATCGGTCCAAAAGTTACCAAAGGTGATCGAGTTTTTTCTCGATAACTGTCAGCGTCGCCATCTAGCAAACGATTCTTGAACTGTTATTTCTCATTTTACAGTTGTTTCGATTTCTGTTTTTTAATTCTGGTAGTGACAGACAACAAAGGAGAGTGAAGAAAAAAGAGTGTCTTTTTAGTATCCGTCAGTAGAGGGTAGACTTTTCTAGGCAGTAGCTTCGTTGGGCACTGCAACAGCTGCTTCTGCTTTCTGGACGACCACAACGGCCACCGCCTCATCTCCATCGGCAGGAGATTTCATTGCCGCCTGCTTCGTCTTGTGCCACTTTCTTTTTGCTAGGATGCTGTCAATAGCCTTTTCGATGCCAGGGGAGTCTTCAACAGCAGCATTCACTGGTGGACGGTGGTAAAAGCCAGGATTCCTCTGCTCTGCAGCTCTATTCTCATCAGACAGCATCATTGGAACGTCTCCATCTTCAAGATGCTGACGCTCTTCCCGGTCATAGTCAAAGTTGATGTTGTAGTTGTCACAGTGAATGCAGATGGCGAGAAAAGCCACAAAGAGGACGACAAAGACGATGATGAGGACACTTACTGTGATTTCTATTAAACTTACGGTTAATATTTAAAACTCAAATACTAAACCTCTCTCTGATTTACCAAAGGTCAGAGAATGGGAAGTTTTAAAAGCTGTGGTGGTGGTCGTGGTGGTAGTAGTCGTCGCATTATGAGAATCTTTTTCAAGTTTTAAAAATTCAAACAAAGGAGCAAAAAAGTCCATTTTAAGAAATCTAAACAACGAGTACTGGACAAAAAGTGAAACTTGAAAACTGGCCACCTCTTTCACTGGACATCTCTTTTTTAGCTGAATCAGCAAAATAAAAAAGACGCAAAAAAGTTCGATTTTAGTAGCACTGCCGCCACGTAGTTTATAATTTAAAAAATTGTAATTTTTGTAAAAGCATGCATTTGTGGTAAAGTAATAATTTTGAGTGATATCACAAATATCAGAGTTTCACGAAACAAACTCAAACTTGCACTGCGGACAAACGCGGTTATTATTTGTTTGAAACCATTTGCGCTGTAAATAAAAAATGTAAGTTTCCAGAATTTACAGAAAAAATTAACACTTACGATGCAGGCATAGTGAAACTTCTTCCGACACTGAGGACACTTGAAGCGAGGAAAGGCTGACGAGGCACCAAACAGCACAAACAGGCAAATCATACACTCCTCAATACCTTCAAAGAACTTGTCCATGTTCGGGCGCAACAGAATAATGCCGTTCATGATAGAGCAGTTCTAAATGGGGGATAAATAAAAATTAGCATCTCCTTTTTTACCACTCCCCTCTTTCACTACGTACCAGTTTGTTGAAGAAAATGGTCAGTCTTTGAATCCACTTGCGACAGCGGTCTTCACTGACGCCACTTCGATTGAAGCACTCCACCTTGACGGTAGTCAGCGGAAAGTTCTCATTGAAGCTGAACTTGATGCCAAAGCTAATCTCCTTCAGTGAGTAGACCGCAGTGATCTCATTCACCTTCTTACTGGCCCTCACCACAATGTTGCCAAACTTTTCGCGATCGACCGTCTGCAGTGCGTCCAACTCCTTTTCAATGAGTACAGTGCTGCAGTGACGAATGGTGAAACCGTCCACTAGCTGCTTGTGCGTCGGCTTCAGACTGCCGAACCAGGAGCGAATCAGATGGGGCAGATTGCGCAACATGTGATAGTACACGGTCAGCGCCAGTTTGGGCAGTGAATTGGCGCCACCTCGATCGCCCATCAGATGGCGAAGATTCTGATTTTCCTTCAGGTCTTTCAGCTTGCGCAGGTAGTCGGCAATGTTCTCAGATGAGCCGCCACAACCGCTTTTCTCATCGTCCTCTGCACCCTCTCCACTCAGCTCCTCCTCGTCCAGATTGTCCATCAGGTGGAAGAGGTTGTCAAAGAGGCGAAAGTGAAGGCCTCGATCGGCGACATAGGCAATCAAGTCGACCCGAGATTCTTGCGACTCGCCCATGGGAAAGGAGTCCACCAGGTGCAAGTACAGCAGCCAGACAAGCAGATAGGCGAATATGTAGTTGTACACGTCACTCTTTGGATCAATCATCACCGATTCACCAAAGTTGCAGTCCATCAGAATGTACTCGGTCACCTTGTCTAGCTTTTCCAGCAGCTCTTGAAAGCATTCAGGCGGAGCGCTGGCGGATAACAAACAAAATAATTAAAGATAAGAGTCAGCGTGCTAGACTGAAATACTCACAGCTGAATTTCCTTTTCATTGAGCAGAGAGGTGTTGAGAGTGCTGAGCGACAGCATATCATCGTCTTCACCTCGAGCCATCTGCTTCGCCGACAGATTTTTCTCATTCCAGGGCAAATCCTGGAACATGATGGAGAGCACTTGAAAGGCACTGGTCGACCAGCTGACGTCAGAGTGAAGCAGCAGTGGCGTGGCGTAATTCAGCAGGTACTCGTGGTACTTGTTCGAGGGAGAGAGGCTCAGTAAGGCGGTGTTCTCCTCTTGCTTTGCTGTCCTCCTGCTGCTGCTGCCCGCCCTCTCCGAGATGTGTGCATTTTCAATAAACTGATCTAGGTGCACCTGCAGCGTCCGCTGACTGGACTGGGTGGACTTCTGGTCGTCAGGGTACATCAACAGGTACTGATTGAGCTCCAGGGTGGATATGTCGCGCAGACATTCGGTGTCAATGTAGTCCGTCGTCTGGACAAGTCGCTTCAGGGCAGACTTCTCAATTAGGTTCCGCTTGGGGCCATCATTGAGGACGATAAAAAGCGGCAGGAGCATGTTGTAGGAGTCAAAGGCGACAAAGTTGCGCCACAGTTCGTTCATCTCAGAGGGCTGCGACTCTTCTGCTGTTGCAGCTGGCGATGAAGATGAGGGTGATGATGACATGGAGATCGTCTTTGACTGCTGGCCAAAATAGTTCAAAGTGGCGAGCATCTGCGAGGACATGAGGAGGACGCGCAACTCCTGCGCTTCCTCCTTCTCCACCGCCTCAGGCAGTGAGGTGTAGAGGATCTGCACCCAAAGTTTGAGCACCGAGAGGAACATGGAGTAGTGCTGGGGACGGGTGGTGTTGCTGCTGTCCTCCTCCTCCTCCTCACCCTCAAGGCAGGACACTGCCTCGGTGATCATCTGATTGACGAGGAGGAAGGTGAGGTACTTGGGACTGTTCACCAGTGGAATGTTCGGCTCAAAGAGTTTCTCCAGTCTACTCCACGACAGCAAGGTGAGAAAGTTGCGCAGCTGCTCCTTCAGCTGCGACACTGCCGTCTCCTCCGCGGTCGCCTTTCTGTTGGCCAGTTTGTAGAAAGCCACATTGACTACAAAGAGCATCTGATTGATCTCCTCAGTGGGCAGCTTTGACCAGTCAAATAGTGGAGCGTCCAGTCCTTTCAAATCTTCCTCTGTTGCAGC